TTTTTTAATTTTATTTATTTGTGTGTGTGTGTGTGTGTGTGTGTGTGGCCAGCTCAGCCCACCAGGGGGCGGGGCTGGCTGGCATGTGGTGCTGGGGACTGAAACGCGGTCCCTATGCTTTGCTAAGCTTGTTCTAAGTAGGTGCTTTAGACCACTGAGCCATCTCCCCAGCCCCACGCTCATCTTGAGCCGCAAAATTTTCTTAAAAATTTGCCCATTAAACTATAGGGTCCTTCCTTCTTGCTCTGTGCTTAAGTTTAGACTGGATGTTCAGCGGGCACTACACCAGAGAAGGGGGAGAATCTACCCATTTCCATAGCATTTCACCAGGAGATCTGTTTGCTTCCTACAACCTCTGGAGACAAAAAAATACGACACTATGGAAGGGATTTTGCACTCAGTGGTTCACAGGCCCCCAGGCAGGCTATAGTCCGACAAAATATGTGGAATCTCTCAAGGGTACAGATTGGATTTCTCACAAATTTACCAAATCAAGAACTCCAGTGTTCCAAGCCTTCACCTGAAGATCACGAAAAGTATGGTGGGGATCCACAGCGCCCTCACAAACTGCATGTTGTTACCAGAATAAAAAGTACAGTAAGACGACCATATTGGGAAAAAGATGTAATCAAGATGCTTGCATAAGAAAAAGCACACACTCCTCAAGTTCGTAAGAACATCCCTTCAGTAAATGCAAAACTGATAGAGGATAAGCATCTCATAAGAATCCAGCCCCTGAAGCTGCCGCAAGGACTTCCCACAGAAGAGAACATGGCTAACACGTGCCTCAAGAGTATTGGGAAGAGGGCCAGCCAGATGGCTCGGTGGACTAAAGCGCCTGCTTAAGCAGAGCGCAGTGGCCTAAGTTCAATCTTCAGTGTGCCATGCCGGCCCTGCCCCTAGGGTGCGCTGAGATGGCAACTGAGACTGGATGTGGTGGCTCATCTCTGCAATCCCAGTGCTTGGGAGGCTGAAACAGGAGGATCACTACAAGTCAAATCTACATAGTGAGACCCTGTAGATCCTGTCCTAAATACAGAGAGAGAGAGAGAGAGAGAGAGAGAGAGAGAGAGAGGGAGGGAGGGAGGGAGGGAGGGAGGGAGAGAGAGAGAACGAACGAACTTGGGAGTTAGTAGTGCAGTGGCAACTGAAGTCTGTGGACACCTATAAGCCCAGCACTCAGGACGTAGGGCAGAAAAATCCTTGCAAATTCAAGGACAGACCCAGGCTACATAGTTCAAGACCAGTCTAAATACAAAGTAAGACCTTGACTGAAAAAACCCCTGTGGAGTGGGAAACAAGTCCTGATGTCATAGAGCTTCGTATTTTAAAAAATACAAATTATATTTGAAGTTGCTGGGAATCTGGACATGGTGGTACATGCCTGTAATCTCAGCACTCAGGAGGCTGAGGCAGGAGGATTGCTGTTTGAGGCCAGACTACACTACATACTGATATCCTGTCTCAAAAAAAAAAAAAAAAAAAGAAAGGTTGGTGAGAAAATGTTTTCATTAAAATATATTTTTAAGGGGCTGGGGAGATGACTCAGTGGAATAAGTGCTTTCCTGGCAAGCACAAGGGCCTGAGTTCAATCCCCGGTTCTGCCAAAAACAAAAACAAAAAAAATGTATTTTTAAAAAAACAAACAAAAACTATAGCAGGCCCTGGGCATACTAGTCCATACCTGCAATCCCAGCACTAAGGAGGCTGAGCAGGAGGATCACCAAGTTTCAGGCCAGCCTGAGCTACACAGTGAGCTCAATGTCTGAACTACATGTTGAGACCCCGTCCAAAAAAGACCAAACCAAAATGAAGCTACAGCCAGCTCATCTTTAGGTATAATAAAAATGTGAAAACACATATCCAAAGTAAGTGAAATGGGCCAATGAAATAGCTCAGCAGATTAAGGCACCTGCTTGGGCAACCTTACCAAGCGCAGGGACCTCAGTTTGATCCCTGGCACTACATGCTATGCCAGCCCTGCCCCCAGGATGGGCTGAGCTGGCCAGAGTCAGAGGTGTGGCGGCACATGCCGCCTGAAATCCCAGTGCTGGGGAGGCTAAAAACAGGAGGATCACTATGAGTCTGAGCTGCACAGTCAGACCCGGTAACAATCAAATAATTTATTTTATTTATTTATTTATTTATTTGTGTGTGTGTGTGTGTGTGTGTGTGTGTGTGTGTGTGTGTGTGT